TTTAATATTATTTTTTGATTTCAGTAAAAACAAGCCCATCCAAACATTTCATCTTTCCCAAAAATCTCTGGGGAAAAATGTTTTCAATATACTGATTGCGTAGGTGCATTTGCCGCTCGAAGATTATAGGTAGCGCGCTGAAAAAGCCCACTAGGAGGCACCTTAACTGACAAAACCAAAGTTACTTATTATGACCGAAACAATGGTGACAGTGGCAAAATCAAAACTTACAGCCATTTAGAAGTAGTCTTATTTATAAAGGATCCTCTAGGAAAATCTTCTTTAGAAAAATTGACGAGAATGCTGTGGAGTTGAAGAATAATTATTGTTAATATAATGACAGCAATACATACTGGGCAAGATTTCGCTTAAGCTCGCTGATCATGACGTATATTTTCTTCATTGGTTTTTATTGCCGCCATCTTAGTTAAAACTAACTGTCATTAATCTGTTTTGTTTTTAAGGATGATTTTCGTATTTTATTTTCATCGGTCCTACTGAACTCATGCTATGAGAATGGGATTAAACATGGCGAAACTCTCCAAAAAACCACAATATCAAAAGGGAAGGAAGGGTGGAAAATTAAAAATAAATTAGGAGAGCAACCGCAGGTCGCGGTAAGTACAACGAGGGCAATTAAATTTGTTAAGCGTCGATGGATACCACAGGATCTTAGCAGATTCGACTCGAATCAAGTGACTAATATGCTAATCGACTCTCATACATTTTCACCATGAGACCGCTGAGAATAGCAAGCGATATTTCATTTTTCAAAGTGAACAAAATGAGCAATGTACAAAGGGATCTGGCGTGATTCAATGCAATCTGTCTTGATTCAAAAGTCACGAATCATGCCAGATCCCTTTGTTCACAACTTAAGCCTCACATCGGTGCGAGTTTTGCATTTGGTCTATTCGTTAACTTACAATCCAAACTCATATCATTATTTAACTAAGCAATTATACGCACGATGTTTTGATGGTCCGTAGATCATCGTACACTGATTAACGGCCGCAAACCTAAAACAAAGTCTGGAAACCTTCTTTTGTTTTTGGTGTATAGAGATCGAGCCTTGTTACGTGGTTTGCCTCAACATTACGGTGGCCCATAACTGTCACGGCAAATCAAAATTCACGCGGCACTACACAAAATAATCACGGAGAAATCACCAATTGTCACGGCACTACACAATAATTCACGGCAAAATAACCAATCTTTGCGGCAATACGATAATACAATAAGATTTTGTCGTCAATATGGTACCCCCTGTCATCATAAACATTGAGCTTCCTGTGTTACTCTGAAAGGATTCAATTCTGTGTTGTGCCGCGGCCTTGTGTATTTTGCTGCGAGTGAAATTGTGTAGTGCCGTGGAAATTGGTGATTTTGCCGTGAATATTTTGTGTAGTGCCGTGTGAATTTTGATTTGACGTGACAGTTATGGGCCACCGTACAACATCAGTTTCTTCATCCTCTGGTCTTGGTAAAACAAGTTTCAATCGTTGCGGAAACTCAAAAACAATATACTGATAAAAATTAGCCTTTCCGGAACTAAGAAAGGGACTGGGACAGAGTGAAAGTACTAATCTAATCAAGAAATTATCTCCATCACAAGAAAGACCATACTAATATTAGAACTAATATATATATATATATATTTATTTATGCACTGCCTAAAAGCGGAGCTCCCGATACGGAAGTCACAGGGAGAACAATTTGTTTGGTTTGGTTTGGTTTGGTTTGGTTTGGTTTGGTTTGGTTTGGTTTGGTTTGTTTGCTCGAGTATACTCTCCCACTTAGGAATTTTGTACACAACTCATCACCACCCCCAAGGGCTAGTTTTGTTCTTGGAAGATACTTCGACAAAGTTTTCCAAGGCCGACAGTGTAAGGCTTTGAATATCAGGTTTAGTGAAATTTACATCGTATGTTTTTCAATGAAATCGAAATTCTTGAGATTTAGGAAAAATGAAGACTAATAAACAGACTTGAAAGCTGTTTAAGATGAGCAAAAAATAACTTTTTTAATTACGTCTTTTACGAGACGAAGTTTACATTCAGTTAAACTTGACTAGAACAACTAAGACAAAATAGAAAATAATGCAAAAAGCAATGCAAAATACAAAATGGCGAATTTCTTTGTCAGTAAATTGGCGTTTGTAAATGTCTTTGAATATTTTTTCACTTCTTAAAGTGAAAGTCTAGGTACTTATACAATAATTGAAGCTCATTTTTTAATCATACTTGTTCGAACAGCTAAGTAAACAGTTGAATATTTGGTGTAAATTCATATTTCATTCAATAATTAAATAAATTGTCTGTAGAAAGATATAAAATTATTGAATGAAAGTCTTCAGCTTTGTTTTGCCGATGGGACCCGCGATAGGAGGCAAACAAAGCTGATTTTTTCTTTAACGAAAAACATACGATAGTTGGTTAAAAACAACCGAATTGTTAAAGATTTACAAAGCTAAATAAAGGAGGAATACTTTGTTGTCGTAATATGCTCTCCTTGTTATATTTCCTCTAACATTAAAATAAATTAAGCTTATCTATAGAAATATAAAACTTTTTGAGAGAAAGTCTTTAATTTGTCGATTCGTCGGGAAAAATGTTTGTCAAAAAAATAATAATGTACGATTGTTTGCTAAAAAACACACATCTGAATTCTTGAAAAACGCTACTTGATCCATCTCTGACTACATGAAAGTTTTTATTCTTAATTGTTTTTGGTCTATATTGTCCTAAAGCGATTTTTTTTTTTTTTTTTTTTTTTTTTTTTTTTTTTTTTTCTTTTTTTTTTTTTTTTTTTTTTTTTTTTGTGCATTTTCGAGCCGCATTTTCGAGTAGTTTTGCTTTGACATCAAGCGGGATTCCTGCGTTGTGTACACTGACGTACGTACGAACGGACGGAAGTGAAGTCAGCCAAACCATAAAAAATCAATTTGACGGTTTACAACTTTTTTCTTAAATATGGTGCTCCGCTCGCGCGGGCCGGAGCTCCGCCAATATATATTTAGGCGGAAGTCAAAGGGAGCCCAATTTGAATGAAACTGAGATGAAAGGTAAAAATAAGATCGGGGAAAAAATATTCAATTATTTTTTATTGGAGATGAAGATAATCTCTCCCTTAATAAAAACCATGGAGTGAAATCGAATCGAAATGCACTACATTGTTTTCTTTGCGCGAGTATACTCTCCCACTTAGGAATTTTGTGCACAACTCACCACCACCCCCAGGGTCTAGTTTTGTTCTTGGAAGATTCTTCAACAAAGTTGACAGTTTTAGGCTTTGAATCTCTTTTACTTTAACAAAACGAAAGATAAC